TCTCAACATTTTTGGTTCTGTTACAAGAAGCATGATTCCGGCTTTCCCAAAACAGGAAGCATTTGTTGCTAAAGCTCTTAATAAAGACCCTATAGCCTAGTGATTTGAGCACAGGATTGAAAACTCTGCAATCCTGAGTTGTATTTCTTTGACTTGATTAATAGTTGTTTGCACTTAAGTTAAACTTTATAAATATTATTTAGTTAGGCCTCAAAACATTATGGCTATGTCCACACTGGCCCCTTTTCCGAAAGGGGCATGTTAATTTCACAGGTCGTAATAGGGAAATCCGCGGGGGATTTAAATATCCCCCGCGGTATTTAAATAAAAATGTCCGCCGCTTTTTTCCGGCTTTTAAAAACGCCGGAAAAGAGCGTCTACACTGGCCCCGATCCTCCGGAAAAAAAGCCCTTTTCCGGAGGATCTTATTCCTACTTCGAAGTAGGAATAAGATCCTCCGGAAAAGGGCTTTTTTTCCGGAGGATCGGGGCCAGTGTAGACGTAGCCCTCTGTGAGGTAACAGTATCAGTATTTTAGAGAGGATAGCTGGGTCTCACAGAGATTAATTGACTTTCCTAAGGTCATACAGGAAGTGAATATCAGGATAAGAATCAGACTCCTGATAAGTCCTCATCTTATCCACTAGATTGCAGTTCCCTTCAAGGGAAATTGCTTAACTTCTCTTTGTGTTTGTTATTGCATTTGAGAGCTAAGAATTTTGTAAAGACAAATGAGCATTATATGAGATTTACAGCTTAAAAAAGAACTATGGCTATTGTCGCAGATCTGGTTGAACTCCTCCTGTTGGAAACTCAGATTTCTCTGAGGAGAGCCAGAAGCTGAATCCTACATGCCGTTTTTGGGGCCAGATAGAGTGCATTGCTCTAGGAACTGTGGCACTCTTGGGTCCCAGATCCCTGTTCCATCCACAGTCTTGCAGTCTAGGTGCTGTGGCACAGGTCCCACTTGCCCTTTCTGGTGTTTGGGCTTCTGTCCCTTGTCTAGAATGGCCCCTGGACTGGGTAAGCAGTCCTTCTCAGCTATTGGCTGGACTCTCTGGCCACTTTGGGAAGGACACTGAATTCCTCTACACACACCGTGCTCCCAATTCGCTAGTAGTGGAAGCAGCTAACCAGAAGAACAAGCAACACCAACAGTTCAAGATCACTTCATCCATCAAAGATAATAGAAGGATGGAGGCATTTGAGTGGAAAGTATACTTCTCCACCTTGCAGTTCAGGGTGGCCAATTATGTGGTGCTATTCGTGAAATACAACTACAGAAACTACTCCAAAATACAAACTTTTATTGATGACATGCCTCAAGACAGGAAACAACAATTGCTGGCACTGGTCTCTGAAAGCCAATTAATATCCTGCAAGGAGCTCCAAGCTGCACTAGACATTGTGGCCACGGCCACCAGGTCCATAGCTACAGCAGTAGTTATGCATAGTGTATCCTGGCTCTCATCTTCCTCCTTCCCAGGGGAAATCCACACTGCAATATAGGGTCTTCCATTTGATGGGCATAGCTCTTTCCTGCCAACACCAGTGTGGTCCTCCACTCCATGAAGGACTCTCGAGCAACCCTGAGATCCTTGGGCATACAAACACCTATGCCAAAGGAGAAACAATACAGGTATCAGCCATACCAATGACAGTGATACCTCTATTACTCACACCAAGCACAGCATTAACAGTATGATACTCATTACCAACAATGCCAGAGACCCAGAGCCCAAATACATTGCCCTCCACCTTCTGGGGTGATCAAACCTGCAGCCTCCAATAATCAAATTTGAAGCATCGGTCAAGAGCATTGAAAACAATCTACTCTCTCCAGTGCTTATAGTGACCAACCCATCCTTCACCTTCTGTTTACTACCGTACTTCTATAACTGGGAAGCTATACCTTCAGACTGTTGGATCCTGGAGATCATTTAATCAGGAAATACCATCCCATTCACATCCCTATGCCCCAACCACCACCGCCTTCCATCCCTCATCAGGGATCCTTCTCACATTCTATTACTCCATTCAGAGGTGCAATGCCTTATCTATCTCAGAGCCGTAGAGCCAGTGCCTACTCAGCAAAGAGGGAAAAGTTTTATTCATGTTATTTCTTGACAGAAAAGAAAAATGGGGGATGGTGATCCATTCTAGATTTCCAGAGTTTGAACAAATATGTAAAAAGACAAAAATTCAGG